GACCCCCAAGGGAGGGGAGAGCACCTCCTCCCTCAGAAGCCCATTCCAAATTTTGGCCACCCTTACTGTGAAGAAGTTTTTCCTGATATCTGGCCTAAATCTGCTCTCTGTCAGTTTGTCACCATTGCTCTTTGTTACCCCAAGAGGTGCCCTGGTGAACAGAGCGTCCCCGATCCCTTGCTGCCTCCCCCTAATGAATTTGCAGGCGGCCACAAGATCACCTCTCAGCCTTCTCTTGTGGAAGCTGAAGAGGTCCAGGTCCCTCAGTCTCTCCTCATAGGGCTTGTCCTGTAAGCCCCTAACCATACGAGTGGCCCTCCTCTGGACCCTCTCGAGTCTATCAACATCCTTCTTGAAGTACGGCACCCAAAACTGGATGCACTACTTCAACTGTGGTCTGACCAGTGCTGCATAGAGGGAAAGTATCACCTCCTTGGATCTATTTGACATGCATCTGCTGATTCATGATAAAGTTTGGTTAGCTTTGCTGATGATTTTGTCACACTGACGACTCATGTGCATCTTGGAGTCCACTATGACTCTGAGATCCCTTTCCGCTTCTGTGCTGCCGAGAGGGTCACTTCCCAGCCAGTAGATGTGCAGCATATTTTTTCACCCTAGGTGCAGCACTCTGCTCTGGTCCTTGTTGTACTGCATCCTATTGTGTACTCCCCCCTTCTCTAACCTGTCCAGGTCAGGCATGATCTACCTGCTACAAATCCATACTGGTTTCCCTGCTGCATTATTTTTCCTGCTGGACTCCCATAAATATGATACTTCATAATCTTTTCAAAGGATGGAGGTGAGACTGATTGGCCTATAATTACTCGGATCCTCCTTCCTCCCCTTCTTGAAAATAGGGACCATATCCATTTGCTTATGCAAGTATTCTGAATCTGCCAGAAAAAAATGGATTTGTAGTTAAATATAATTGTAGTTAAATGTGAAGTAATTAAACACACTTATCTAACTATTTGTAGATGAAGACTGCCTCCTGGAAATGGTTTTCTTATTGGATAGTTCAGAAAGTGCTAAAGACTATAATCATGAACAACAGAAAAAATTTGTCCTGGAAACAGTGGACAGAATGAAAGGACTTCAACTTAACTCTGGACGTACCCTCAGCTGGAGGGCAGCCTTACTTCAGTATAGCAGCACCGTTCTCATGGAACAAACTTTCCAAGATTGGAAGGGTCCTGAATCATTCAAATCTCACATTGCTCCCATCACCTACATTGGTCATGGAACCTACACAACTTATGCCATAACCAATCTCACCCAATTGTACTTGACTGAAGGGACTCCCCACAGTGTAAAAGTAGCTGTGCTCTTAACAGATGGTGTAGATCATCCAAGAAACCCAGATATTTTTGCAGCTACCGCTGATGCTAAACATCAAGGAATAGTATTCTTCACTGTGGGAATGACCAGAGTGGCTGAGGAGGTGGCCAATGCTGCCAAACTTCGGCTCCTGGCCAGTGTCCCGGCATCAAGGTTTGTTTTCAACCTCCAGGAGAAAGGAACTGTGGAGAAAATTCTCAAAGAAATGGTATGTATGGACACAGGTTTTATAAGAATTTCTAAAACTCACCCTCCCCTTGCTGTTTTTAATTTCTGGTTATTTTAAAATAATCTCTATTTTATACATAAAGCAACATTTTAATTTTAATTCTAACACTTTTCACTTGCCAAAGAAGTCATTGCATCAAAATACAGAATTTCTCCTCCTGGAAATAAGCATGCTGAATAACATTCACTGACCTAAGATAATGCCTTGTCAGTAGCCGTTAATGACTCATTACAGATATTTCTCCCAAAACACTATCAGGAAATCATAATCTTCTCCAGGCACCTCATCAAAAGAGCAGTCAAGTCAAGGGAATTTCTACCCTGAATTACTGGGCTTTTGATCAAGTTCTATGTGCCCAAATCTATTCTTTTGTGTTTTAAAATTTAATGTAAGGGTTCATGGAAGTTTTGCTGTCTATTTTATCTTTACTTACGGCTTTACGCTTACTGTCTTATTGGAGTCAGAGCAGATATTCTGGCAGCATTTGTCTGACTGGGATGACCAGTGGTGGGTATAACTGTGGATGAGGTCAAATAATTAAAGCAGAAGCTGAAATATATTAATATGGAAATATGTTAGTAGCTTGAGGTTGAATTAAGTAGTTGCTGAAAAAGGAAAAATACTGATGATGGAGAAAGCATCCTAGCTTTTGTAAGCTAAGGAAAACACATTTGTTCTCTCTGAGCTATAATTTCTAACATTGTTTTTAATATCCATTTTTACAGAAAAATCAGGCAGAGGAAGGGGTAAGTATTAATTCTGCACAGTTGGTAAACAGTCCAGAAGACAAATTCAAATAAAAATCCATTACATTATATATATATCCTGTTCATACATTGAGGTAGGTCAGTATATAAATCTAGTAAAGGCCAGACTGTGACATTATGCAGTGCAGTAAGGGCCTAAAGGGATGTAAAATGTCCCCTTTCTCACCTATATTGGTAGTACAGCAGATGTCCCCTTTCTCACCTGTATTGGTAGTACAGCAGATAGTTTATAAATTAGAACAGAACACAGGGTCCATACTTCCCCTTAGGAGAGGTTTGTTGCAAAGTCATGGTTGACCCCACAGGGAACAACGTGATGGTGTAGTGTGGATTTTTAGTTTGAGTGTATATTGGACACAGGAGTGATAGAATAACAGAATACAGTTATAATATTACACATTACATGCATTTTTATTTTATAGAATTAAACAATTGTAGATTAATAATATCAATTTTTTTTAAAGTTGGTAACTTCTGGTTAATTCATTAAAGTGTACTGATTTGCTATGAATATTTTCATTCAAAGTGTCCCCAGGCTCCTATATGTAACTGTGAGAAAGGGGAAAGAGGCCTTCCTGGACCTGCTGTAAGTAGCTGTCATTTCTTGTTTTCCTTTTATTAATGATTCACATAAAGTGATATTAGGGTTGTTATATTCATTTTTAATGAATTACCCAAATCTAATCGCAAAGAAATATAGCTACAGGAAAAAGTCCTTTTCACCTACACTGTATTGAAGTGTCAAGTCAATGAGAAATACATTGAAAGAACTGCTGGAATACACAAGCAGCTTCTCTGGCATTCTCTCTAAAAGGAGACAGCAATGCGAGTTATGATCTATCTTGAACCTGCTTTAATTATGGCATATGTGTAAAATAAGCATTGTCAAATAGCAAGAAGGTGGTGCTACATGGTGTAGAAGAGAAGAGCTATTCTACTTATAAAATCTTGACAGCCAGACCAGATGTGTCACACCAGCTTCAACTCAGAACTCTAGTCTCTCTGCGCATGTTCCTACAAGCATGTATGTATAGGAGCATGCATTTCCCACAGGACAGATAGAAGCATCACAAATATGTGCTGCTGCTATTTGTACCTGAGCATGCCTCTGCACACGCACTTTTCAGCATGACAAAAAGACCTGGGTGGGGTAGGGGAGGCTGGGGCCAACACCTGTGCTGGCCCAACAGCCTTACCTGGGGTCCTGGGAAATGTTCTCTCTAAGGTGTAGTGATCCAAGAGCACCCCAACTTGGTCCATGAATGTGCCGCTTCAGTTCATACACTTTGCCTGCTCCCTGCCTCCATGCCTCACTCCAGCCTTTGAAAGGTGTGCAGTGCCATGTGTGTGGACCAGACAGTGAGGCACATGGCATCACTTTCAAAGGCTGCAGTGAGGCGCAGGGAGCAGACAAAGTGCAGATCCCACCTGCCCTTGCCCCATGCAAAGCTCGGGGGCTGGGCCATGTGCCCTCACTTGACTGCCTGCGCCATGCGTCTGGAGGTGCCACTGGGCTCTGACTGCAATCAGATCCCAGCGGCTTGTCCAGGGGGAACTGGGGTGGGAATGTGCTCCCCCTCCCCTGTGGTACATGCAGCAGCAGGAGCTGCAGCCCGCTACCCACACCCCTGGATGAACCTCCAGGCTCTGATTGCCCCAGCCTGGCTGGGGCCCTATTCACAGTGAATGGCCGAGCCGGGTTTTGGGACAATCCCCACAGTGCAGGAGGGAGTGGGGCAGTGCCCTATCCATACCGCACTCCCTTCTGCACTGTGGGGATCTTGCCCCCCACTGCCCCCAAGCCCAGTGAAATATACCTGCCTGCAGCTGCAATTCTGGCTGAGACTGCGCGGGTATCTCAGTATGTCCATCCCTCCCCACTCCTGCAGCAGCCTGTGGCTGGGCTGGGGCAGGTGCATGGCATTAATAAGTTACTGCATGGCATGATTTTTTCTTGTGCGCGGCTGCGCATGTGTGCAGCTTAGAAGGAACCTTCATCCTGGGGGCCTCCCTGGGCAGCAGTGGTGCCAAACTGGCTACTCAGAGCTTGGTCAGCAGCCAGAGCATGGCTCTGGCTGGCAAGGCTCTGGTTTCTGGTGGGGCACACTGCTGCTGTGTGCATGGCACCACTGTTTTTAGTGGCAGGTTTTTTTAGGTTGGGATCTCCTGGTGTCAAAAAAAATTTCTACCCTGCAAATTAGCAGCGTGGTGCATAGGTGCACATGCACTGCATGCATCTCAAATAGCTTTGAGGTGCTGCAAACCACACGTGCATGCTCATGGGGATGCGTCCTCTGAGAAAAGAATGACAACAGATCCTGCAAGAGGCAATATTAGAAACAACCAGCTGAGACATGCCATTTCAAGTCTGATAATTACACTAATTTGATGAATAGTCAAAAACAAATGGCCAAAAGGTAACTCTTAAAATACTGCATATGTTGCCAAATAAAATCCTTTTAAAACTGTCATCTTGCATATAACTCTATTCTTCTGTTTGTAGGGTAAAAAGGGTCGTCCAGGTGATGATGGGGCGCCTGGCCAGAAGGGACCAAAGGTAACATGGCTTTTAAAACTTAATAAAAGCACCCAGTATTTCTGCATGGATAGAAAAAAGCTTGCACTAGGCTGTGGTTCGGGAGAACAGGTGGGGTCAGAGGCTGCTGCGGGGAGAGGCGGTGGGAGCAGAGACAGTGGGCGTGTGGGCAGGCAGCTGCTGTGGCTCTGGCTTCTACACTGTGTCAAGACTGGAGGTAGAGCTGCAGCAACTGCCTGCTTCCTCACTGCCTTGTACTCAATTCCAAGATGGGAGGCTTTCCCCTATGCTAAATGTGTATACCATATTTACTCAAATCCAAGGTAAGAAGCTTTGCCTACCATATTTTCTCCATGTTAAAGGGGGGGGGGAAGCCTCTTTTCTTGGATTCAAGTAAATAAGATACATACTAAATACTAACAACCTGACTCCTATTTAATACACCTGGTATGCCTGATGTTGATGCCAAATTCTTCATAGGGGGAGCCAGGCCTTAACGGAATTCCAGGAAGAGACGGAATAGAGGTAAGGAATGTTCCAAACTGCTGGTTTATTTCAAGGAAATGATCCCAACTTTGCAATATGCATTATAATAGCTAAGTAAATCTCTTCCATTCCAATTTCCCAGAAAGTAATTCTTTAACACACAAAACATAGCAGCTCAAAAAAGTAAATGGGGTGTCATTACCCAACATGTTTAACTCCTACCTACCAATAATGGAAGTTACATACCATTTGTGACAGTAGTCTTTTCTCACATGGTTTTGTCTTATATTCGTCATATTCAGCTTACAATATAATGTATGTTGTTTTAGTAGGGCAATCAAAATATATTAAATAATTTCCTACTTTTACTTTCCCATTTAAGCACTTGCTGCACTTGAGAAGTGGAGGTATGAGATCCTTACCTTAGTAGTAATAGAGATGATGCACATGATCTGAATGTGATCCATTATTGCATCTGCATGTTCAGTGGTCCATTATATTTTTCCAGAGGGACTATGGAATTATACCTTTCATCCACAGTGTCAAAATTAATTTACCTAAATCAGGTTAATTTTTTCTTATAATCATTTTAATTGTTTCTTTTCCCAGGGGAAATCTGGATACAAAGGAGAAAAGGTATAATTTTTAGTAAGAACTTTTAGTGGCATGCTGGCATTATCATTTATTATTATCACTTCTTTACTACTATGCTTGGGAGCCCTCCATATAGACAAGGACCCCAATGTACTAGGTACTGAACCAACAAAAAACAAATACAAATACAATTACCATAGTTACTCAAATCCAAGACAGAGATTTTTGAATCCTGGCTCAGAGCAGCTCCAGCTCCATTTCCAGCTCCAGCCTGGGCTATGGCTGAAGTTTCCACTGCTGCTGCTGCTGCCTGGAATCATCAGCAACCATAGAGTTAGCAGCAGCTGTGTTGAGTCCAGGTCTAGAGCCAATTCCATGGGTTGGTGATTGGGTGGTGGTGTGGGCAAGCAGCATCACAGGTTGGAGATTGGAGAGGGAGAAAAGGCAGAGTGGGGCAGCCAACATGGGCAAGTGGCTGGAGTGGGCAAGTGATGGGGAGGACAGGCCGCATGGGGGCAGGGAGAATAAGCATGGGGGGCAGGCACTAAGGCGGCAAGTGGTGAGGGGGGCAGGTGGGACAGGCAGGAGGGGGCAGGCATCAGGGGGCACAAGTACTGGAGAAGGCAAATGGCTGGAGGGGTGTCAGACACAGGAAGAGGGAGGGGGGACAAATGGGAGGGGGCAGG